CCTCCCGCTTCCACCTTCACCCGTCGATTTCCAATTTCCACCAGCTCAGTACTCCGACCTTCAACCACCAACATTCGGCCTCGCAGTTCCGCCGCCTGTCCACCGTCAGCCTCCACCAGTTCAGCACTCCGACCTCCGACCTCCAGCACCTGACCTCGCAGTTCCACCTCCGCCAACCCAGCACACAGACCTCAGCGACAGTCCTAAGCAACATTAGCCAACAGCGCCGACTACCACCGACTAGCAATCAACAGCAATGACCAGCAACATCAGCAAACCGATCAACAGAGAGAAGGAGGAGGACGAGGAGTCTATTAGTCTACGACAATGTCGACGGTGACGTCCCAACGAGCCTACAGCGCAGCAGCCCACGAGGAAGCGACGCCAGATGACGCCAGCGGCAAACACCGTATTGGACAATATCTGGACAACCAGACAATCGACCGCAGCCGCGTCCCAGTGACAGACGCTGACCATCATCCACAAAAACGGAAGGAGCCTCACCACGGACGACTCCATCGACACATTGATTCACGAGCTGGAAAGTGTGAAGTGAGGCATCGAAGGCATAAACGAAACCTGGAGGACCGAATCCCGCGAAATGTCAACACCCAAGCTGGCAGGGGTCGCATGTATTCGCGGCAGCTGGGCTCGATACTGCCTCACGAGGCGTTGCGTTTTTGGTCCACCGATTGCACCTTCGTAGTATCTGGAGCTAAACGAACGCACCGCCTACATCGGCTTCGACATTTCCACCTCCAAGGCGCGAGTTGCAACAGCGTATTTCCCACACTCTGGCTAGCCCGGCACCTACGCCCAGCAGATGTACGACATTCTGACCGCGCTCCACGACGAAGCCGCCCAACAGAAACGCACCACAATCATCGCTTGCGATTTTGCAAACATCCCATCCACGCAGACAACGAAGGTACTACCAACAAAAGGCCAGAAGCTCACAGTAGGCCCGCATGCAATGGGAGCGTGCATCACGCGCGGGACGTGGTAATTAGCGTGGGCAAGTTCACATACTATATTTATCACCAACGTGATGTTCTACAAGCACCATGGCAACATCTTCACTTACACCATCAACGGGGGAACACACGCTCAATCACAGATCGACTACGTTCTCCTCGACAAAGACCTTCGCAACCATATGCATGGCTCGCTTGCAACTGATATTCCAGACCTTGGATCCGCTCGTCAAGCAGACGACGGGGAATAACCGGAAGAAATTAGCAAAACGATCCGACTGCCGACTTGCGCACCCACAGGTTGCCGCCCCATTATACTATCAGCGCTTGCAGCACAGACTCGACGCCCACGACATCGCAACCAGCACTGACGACAAGCACATCATCAAGCCCTTGTCCGAACGAATGGGGAAAACAGTAGAAACTCATGCCAGAAAACACCCTACTAGCCTCGAGGGTACCCTTGCTTTCTTGTGTTTCGATGATTTTGCGATGGAAAGCGTGAAGTCCCCACAACAAAAAATCAGCGGACGCCTTGGGGTCTCAGGGTTGGATTTCTCGTGGAAGGTTCCTTGTGGTCGAGCTCCTGCTGTAATGGTGAGTACCATGAGTACCAAACACACACCCTCGGCTTTGAGGGGGGTCATGGCTGGGGCTCAGTCCTTCTTCTGCTCCTCCTCGAGCTCCTACTGTAATGGTGACACTTCACGACGCCAAACACACGGAGACGGCATCACATCGAGCCCCAAATGGCGCGGGAGCACCGGCCGACGGCGCAGCACATCGCACCGATGCAGCCATTGGCAGGCAGAGCATCGCAGACGCCTTTGCCACCTTTTGCGAGCAGCTCTATGGTGCGCCGCAGAGCGAGACCGACGACACTAGCCACGCCGCCACGACGGCAGACTCGAGCATGCCACCATTCACAGCGAATGAGCTTGGACGAGCCATCAAGCATCTGATGAACGGCGAGTGCAGCGACACCGCAAGACTCACAGCCGAACTTCTCAAAGCCCAGGGAACCACAATTGCATCGAATGTCATTCAAATCTACAGTGATATAATCAAGCCGAACCACCCATCACCCGCACAATGGAAGAAAACGACGGTTGTGGTGACATACAGATCTGGAGACCCCAAGCTACCACAAAATTACAAAGCGATTGCCAGTGTCCCACTGCTGTGCAAACTCATGTCCCGCTTCCACTGCAAACAACTGGAAGCCAAATCCAACGCGCAGCAAAACCCTGATCATGCCGGCTTCCGGCGAGGCTTCAGCATCGAAGTCCATTTCTTCACGACGGCGATGTTGCACGGGCACCCACATTGCTGGCAGCTACCACTCTGAGCAGCAGCGATCGACTTCAGGACGACGTTCGCCTGCGTGGACCTCAAGCCCCTAGCGGATGCTCTAAGCCAGCAACAGATTCTCCAAGCTCCTGCAGCACATGTACAGCGAGCAGACGGCCACTGTCCGCACTGACTCCACCAGTCGAAGTTTTAGCATACAGCGATGTGTGAAGCAGGGAGATTCACTCAGTTCCTTCCTGTTCAACGCGCTGTTGGAGCACCCGTTCGACAAGTCAAGCCTGGTTAGCAGCGCAATAGGTTTTGCATTGAGCTCGGCTTCGCCCAATCAACAAGCATTACGAACCTACGCTTCGCAAGCGACGTTCTGCCGTACGCTCCGAACCTTCGCCGACGTACATGCTTGTTGCGCGATTCAGACAGCAAGGCGTCATGCTGCGAACTTTCACTCCGCCCCGTAGGACAAATATTCTCACCAACTTCAGCCGGAGGGCTGGCAGACCAACCGTATGCATCATTTTAGATGTGCGTCTGGATATCCCACCCAACGACCAGAGTACGAAATACTTGGACAGAAAGGAATCCATCCAAAATTTCCACGACGACGAGCTCAAAAATAGGACCGCCGCGGGAAAGTATAACTTTCACCAATTGCGGGGCGAACTTACGTAGCAGATTCCGGCTCTCCAGCGGCTTGATCGCGCCATGCGTTATGCACGGTTGCTCTTCGTGAGCGCCCCCCGAGGACGTGCTCCTGATAGTACAACGAACATGACGTTCTCATACTTTTCGTAGGTGCGCACGCCGACAAAAGCGGAATGCGCCAGAACAGAGCAGACAGACAGCACACGTCGACAGCACGAAGAATAACGGCACCAGCACCGAGAAAAACGGCAGCGATTCCAGCACAGACGCCAGCACTGGCAACAGCATTGAACCGCGCGGCCAAATGACGGAGACAATGACGACGGGTCTGAATCTTGGGTTCATTTCGTACGGAAAAGTATTTCCACTCTGGCGCATGCCAAACGAGCACGAGTCGACGATTAGACAGACGTATACTTCGAGCGAAATTAGAGTTTCGCAGCACGCGTCGTCAACCACAATTACGACGGATGGACACAAGTGAGTGCGAGTTGGGGCCCATGCTTGCACGACCTACACCCAGGCTTTCGCAGACACGGTGGACACAAAAAACTTGTGGGCGGACGACATGATTTCTTTTCTACTTGCCGTGGCCACCATCGACAACGACGCCAGATGGCGGGAATTGGCCGGGAACCGACCATGGTGAAAGAATCAAGAACAAGAAGACTTTTTGGAATACAGGCGTCTCTTTGCCCACTCCGGCATCCACGACGCGTGTGCCTTCTGGCGCTCTGGCGTCCCCGCAGGGCTGTCATGGGCTGACCTCCGAGACGATTTCCGTCGTTTCCTCTTCCGTTTCGTCCTCGTCCGTCTCGTTTTTGCTCCTTTTCCTCATCCTCCGCTTCCTCCTCCTCTCCCACGCCTCATCCTCATCCTTTTCTCTTCGTCCTGGTCCTCCTCTTCGTCGTCCGTGTTACTCGTCATATTGATCCCTCTCCTCTCTCTTCCGCATCATACTCTTATTCTTTATCTTTTTCCTCTTCAATTATTATTTTCGTCCTCCTGTCCCCTGCTCCTCCCGATGGGGGAGCAGCAGAGAACTGGGAAATATGTTGATGTTGATGATGATGCTGCTGCTGATGATTCTGATGACGCTGATGATGATGATGATGATGGTGATAATGATGCGCATGGGGATGCTGATGGCGATGATGATGGTGATGCTGATTGTAGTGATGATGCTGATGATGATGTTGACGATGGTGGTGATGACGATAAGCATGGTCATATGATGATGGTACGGATGGTGATGCTTATGATCATTATGATGACGTTGCTGATGAGTATGATGGAAATGGATATGATGATGCTGATGATGATGATGATGATGGTGATGACGATTGTGGTGATGATGCTTATGATGATGATGATGATGATGATGATGATGATGATGATGATGATGATGATGATGATGATGATTATTATGATTATGATTATGATGATGCTGGTGATGGTGGTTGTGATGACAAGGACGATGACGATGACGATGACGAGGACGATGATTATGATGATGATCATGATGATGACCATGATGATGATGATGATGATGATGATGATGATGATGATGATGATGATGATGATGATGGTGATGGTGATGGTGATGGTGATGGTGATGGTGATGGTGATGATGATGATGATGATGATGATGCTGCTGCTGCTGCTGCTGATGATGATGATGATGATGATGATGATGTTGCTGATGGTGGTGATGATGATGATGATGGTGATGATGATTATGGTGATGGTGGTGGTGATGGTGATGGTGATGAGGAGGACGAGAACGAGGACGAGGATGGCGAGGAGGAGAAGGATAGTGCAGGGGAAGACGGGGGGAAGGAGGAACGAAGTTGGGGAGCGGAATACGGCAAGGAGGAGGAGGAGGAGGAGGAGTAGCAGGAGGAGGAGAAGAAGGATGACCCACGGATGAGGAAAAGAAGCAGGACTGAGGAAGAGAGAAATGGGTCGGTCCGGGGAGG